GCCAGAAATCGTCATCTACGTCGCTGGCCATGGCGCGATGAACCTGAGGACGCCTCTCGTCCCTAGCCTCTGGAAACCCTAGGTGGTCGATGTCCCTGTCTAGATTCTTGCGCGCTGGAATTCTCGTAGCCCGACCCCGCTCACGCGCCTCAGCCGCGAAAGGGTTCATGCCGGAGATCGTCTCATCAGAATCGTCACCGGATTGCAGTGGTGGCGGCGATCAATGACGGGGCGCCCCGTCAAACCCTCGACCTCCGCGACCCCCACGAGCCCACCGCGATGGCCCCGGTTCGTCCCGTCGCGGTTTGCACGAAATTCGGTCATCATTGTTTGCATCGTCGACTGTATCTCCTCTATACCGGCTGAAAGGTCCGCGTGACGATCATCCATGGCCTGGAATCGGTCCTCCAGTCGTTGAATTCTCTCGTCCATGGCGGTATCCTTCTTAGGCGGCATCGTGGATCGATAGTCGCAACCCGTTTTCGGGGACGGGCAGCAACATGGTGGATGCAATTATCAAGCGTGCGACATCGTCAAGGGAAACGTGATATTACTTCGTGGTCGAAATTCCAAAAGGTTGTAGAACGTGAGTTCGTGCCATTTAATTATGATAGTATCGTTTATCAACAGCTCCATAACTTGCGTCAAGGCACACGGTCGGTGAGCGATTATACACACGAATTTTACAATCTTTTGTCACGCATTGAACTTCGGGAATCAAAAAATCAAGTGGTTGCACGGTATGTCGGGGGCATGCGATCGGGTATTCGTGATACGGTCAATCTCTTCAGGCCTGATTTTTTATCCGATGCACATCAACGGGCGACACTTGTCGAGACTCAACTTGGGCAGAAATCGACCTTTCCGTTGGGCGGAGCAGCACGGCAATGGCAACAGGCGGGGAGCAGCTTTTCGGTCAGCCGGACGCCGCAGCAGGGAGCTGCCACCTTCTCCAGCGGGCAGGGCCTTCCCGGTAAGTTGCCAGCAGCCAGCAGTGGGCCTACGCGTGGCGGGGGTCCGTCCGGACAGCCCTCGGCTGCAGTGGGACAGCGGGGTTTCGCCGTGCTCCGTTGCTTTGCGTGTGGCGAGGCGGGCCACCGGCAGTCGGCGTGTCTTCGTGGCGCGGTTTCCAAGGCATTGTTTACGGAGGATGTGGGGGACGCTGGACATTCCGAGGATTATGATGGTGAGCCGATTTATGATATCGAGGGTGGTGACGTGGAGAAATTTGTGAGCGGGGATACGATTGGATCGGTGTTGGTCATTCGCAGGACTTGTTTGGCTCCCAAAGGCTCGGACCTCGTGGACAATGAGCAGAATCACCTCTTCGAATCCACTTGCACAATGGGTAACAAAATTTGTCGTTTTATTATTGATTCTGGTGCGTGTGAAAATGTTATTTCTCAGGAAGCGATTGAC